AAGAAGTGGTCATTGAAAAGAAATTCATGTGGTGGTAACAGGGAAACGGATCAAATTGTCTTATTTTAATCTTTCATGGTGGCTTGCTGTTTACTTGCCTAAGGTTGTATTTGTGATACTGCTTCACCTCTGAATTTATCAGTGCTTGACCACAAGTTTCGATGTAAGTGGTGTAGTTTAGGTTTGGTTTGGGTTATGGTTGAAGGTGGTATGAGCACGGTGGGTGGTTATGGATGAATGGTGGTTGTTTTGGCTCGAGATTTGGGGGGTTGGACGATGGTGATGGAGACCCACACTGTTCACAGACCATAGAGTGATGGATTGAGGAGAGTAATTGTCTTTTAAAAAATTCATATTTTATATATTTAAATATATACTTTTTATTTTATTTTGATACTATATTTTTAATCTTCAAAATTTTATATATTTATTTCATTTAAAATATTATAGTTTACTCTTAGTATAAATCATATGTCCATCCCATTGATAATGGTTAGGATGATTCTTGTTTGCTCGACGAGCGGCGATGAGCATCATTAACGATGAACACCAATAAGTTAAATTGTAAAACGATAAAATTATACGCTACTTAACGTATAATTATTTTAGTTAAAAATGTAATTGTAATTTAAAATAAATCATAATTTTTGATTAAATTGCTTTTTAATATTTTTGTATAATTAGTTCAAATAGTATTCCCTAATTATAAAACCCTGTTTCTTTTAAAAACTATAATTTTCATTGTCGCCTCCGTCGATTTTGTCTTCCTCCTTCGATTGAATCGTTGTCGTTCATCCTTCCCGACGTGCCTCCCGACGTGGACGCCGTTCACCGTCGTCTGCGCAACCAACTCGTTGAGGTAAACTAGAAAAATTTTATTTTGATTCAAAATTAGTGTTTCGTCCAAGCCATCACTAGAGGGTGGTGGCTGACCGGATGTCGGTGCCTTCACCGACAGTGGTCGTGGTTGTCGTTGTGGGAGTTCCCTACTCATTGTTTTCTCCAATCCCAAATTTCCTAAACCCTAACACTTTTTAAAATTCCTCCATTTGTATAACCCAAATTCCTTAATTGATTTCCAAATTCCCTTCCTAGAACCCCAATTAGAATAATTTCACCTTAATTTTTACGTTGAAACTAGGTTTTTTTTCAATCCAATTCCCGGTTCTCGTTTTTCAAATCGTGAAGGGTGTACTAGTACACAATGCGGTTTATCAGTACTCGAGCATCAGTACATGTAGCTTATTGGTACTACAATTCTTTATTTTTCTGAATATGTTTTGTTGTATCGATACACTCATATGAGTATTGGTATGGTATGCTTGATTCGTTTGGTTCGGCCTTATACTTTATTTTTTACGTAGATGATGGATCTAACTTAACGCCTTCAAAACAAGTTAAGATGATGAATCCTAACCTCCCATATCTAACTAGTACACTTGAATTCAATAATCATGCCAATATCAACATTCCAAATTCATTTCTAACACTTTGAATTACTTATTTCAAGTCAAATTCAACTTCAAAATCTATTTACGAACTCTTATTCACAATTTCACTTAAAAATCGCTTATAACTTGTTCATCTTTAGTTTTAAACCACTTTAAGCTTTCCTTAAGCTTGTATACACCCATGCTTAAAACCAACCACAAAAATTTGAAGAAACTAACCAAATTTTAGAACTTACCTTTGGAAATGAAGCTCACGACAGAGTAAGAAGACAAGCAAGGTTTTCAGACTTTTCTTTTCTTTTTCTCTCATTCCACGTGTTTAATATCCTTTATAAAGGAAAATAAAAATCATTCCTTTGAAAAGACCCATTTACCCTTACTTCATTCAATATTTACTAAACCATCATTCACAAAATATTCTTAATTAAGTCCCTAAACTTTTTAATTTTTTGAAATCATACCTCAAAGTTTCAAAACTTACATTCTAGTCACTAGCCCTGTTTTTGGGATGTTACAATTGAGTTGTCCTCATTGCTTCATACAAAAAATATAGATTTGTTAAATGCAAAAAATAAATATAATAATCACTATAAATCAAGTATATGTGCTTTTACTGCATAAAAATATCATTGCAAAATGTTTGTGCATATTTCTCTTTATCTTCATACAATTCTTGAACTCATTTCCTTCCTTCCAATTTGTGTTTTTCCACTAATTATTTCCAAGCCGTTTCAAAATCAGATTTAGTTATACACTTGTTAGCGCATCTCAAAAAATCGTCGAGAAAAATATTATCGGTATAAGATTGCACATTTCTCATGATATGCCATAAACGCTTTTGCCCGAGTAGTACTTCAGAAATGCCATTTAACATGACCTTATCTCTATCAGGAATAATAGCAAGAGGTCTATGGCCATCTCCTGATTCAATCAACTGTTGTAAAACCCACACATACGAGTCCTCTTTCTCATCCACAAGCAATGTACATCCAAATAGAACTGTGTTTCGATGATGATTAACACCAACTAAAATAACAAACGACTAGTTGTATGCGTTGCACTTATAAGTTGTATCAAATGCAAGAACATGCATGAATTATTTATAGTTTGCGTGTGATACACCATCGGCCCAGAATGACTTCTCTAAGTTTTCGAATCCATCTATCATGTGCCTCGCAAAAAAGAAAGAATAAAAATTTTGCTTTCCATATAAATGCCATCGCCGTTTCTACATCACCACCTTGCACTTCCTCTCATTTGATTCTATATAGATAGTTGTAGAATCCTTCGATAGAAATCCAACATTCTCAATCGAAGCAACTTCATTCACGAAATTTCACATCATCTTACTTACTTCAATCACAGAGTTGAGTATACTCTTAATCTTAATTCGATCTAACCCACTAATTTTTCGAAATGACCTACAAAATAAGGCATTAAAGAATATTAAATATATAAGATAACAATTAGTATGTAACAAATTAACTTTTGGATGAATTACATACTAGATATAAACATGTGTTGCTAAACCATTTCATAGTTATGTTCAACGTGAAATTTTACAACTTTCCAATATTAAAAATGTTCATCCAATTTGGATCTAATAAATGCTCTACACCCAACTCAGATGTTCAGTTTTTGGACACGTTTTCTATTTCAAATGTTATTCCACCTATCCTCTCTATCCTCCTTACGACACACCATTTTCTTTGCAAATATGTGACCATTATTTGACTTTTCACTGTCTAGTTGACTCGAACTCCAAAACCTTTCATCTTTGCATAGGTATGATAAATTCAACCATTAATCTAAAGTCTTATACTTCAACAAATTCATATCATTCTCATCGTAATCTTTGATTCATTTCCAATCTTATCCCATATGTGTTCAATAAATTGTCAATTGTCTTCTTATCGTCTATATGATTCATCATCAATTGGATTACCAATTTCTTTCTTTAGTATGTGTTTCACAATCCGATTCACTGTTGCATCCATCTTTTTCCTGATTATGGTCATCTTTATTCTGATTAACACCATCCAACTCTGTAATTTGTTTTTTTATCTTTTATCAACCATCTCGAAAATATCTTTATCTCAATAGACATAATAAAAACCAACATTATTATAATGGTTAATGACATCAAACCTGCATTCTAAAGAGTCGAACCAAACGAATCAAGCATTCCAAACCAATACTCTACATGAGTGTATCGGTACACGAAGACGTATTTAGAAAACAGTAAAGAATTGTGGTACCGATACATGGCTACTCGAGTACCGATACACTGATATTGTATACCAGTACACCCTTGAGAATTTTAAAAATGGGAATCGAGAATTGGATTGAAAAAAAGGTTTCAACATAAATTAAGGTGAAATTGTTCTAATTGGGGTTATGAAGGAAATTTTGGAAACAATTAAGGAATTCGAGTTATACAATTGGAGAAAATTTAAAATAGGGTCAGGGTTAGGTTTAGGAATTTTGGGATTGGGGAAAAACAATGAGAGGAGGGACTCTCACACTGGCAACCACGACCATTGCCAGTGAAGGCGCCAACAGCTGTTCAACCACCACCCTCCAATGACGGCTTGGACGAAACACCAAGTTTGAATCAAAATAAAATTATTCTAGCTTACCTCAACAATTGATTACACAATCGAAGGTGAACGACGTCCACGTCGGGAGGGATGAATGACAACAATTCAATCGAATGAGGAAGACAATTTAATCGTAGGAGGAAGACGAAACAGAAACGACGACGGCGGCGGCAATGAAAAATCCCAACTTTAAAAAAAAAGTTTTGTAATTAGGGATTACTATTTGAACTAATTATACAAAAATATTTAAAAAAACTATTTAATTAAAAATTGTTAAAATTACAATTACATTTTAACTAAATATAATTATACGTTAAGTGTCTTATAATTTTATCATTTTACAATTTAATTTATCAGTGCTCGTCGTTATTGGTGCTTATCGCCGCTCACTGAGCGCTGTAAAATTTTTCTAATGGTTATATGATATATAAGATGAAAATTTTAAAAATGTATGCCAGGTGATGCAATGTTGTTTGGTTGATGAGAAAGAATGATAGCTCGTTTTAGGCATCAACAAAGGCTACCAAAAAATTCATATATAAGCCCACCAAAAAAAACTTAGATCCATAAGAGACGATGATGGATGACCTGTGCAGGTCAACGAATCTAAATTCAATAAAAATTAATTAATTCATATTATTATACCGTCTGAATTTTAACAATTTAATTCTTATATGGAGTAAAAATGAAATGCAATGTTACAATCATATTAATTTTTAATTCAATGATAAAATTAATGTTAAATAAAATTTAGTGAGTTTAATGTAATTAACCCTAAAATTAAACCACTTTATATGATTTTAAAAACCAATCAACCATGTGTTTATTACTTAAAAAAGATTGAGGAATTGCATCATGATGTGCGAGGCTATTACGGTCATAAGATTGTTGTGGGTTCTACGTGAAAGGAAGTCGGGTCAGTCCGGGTTTGAGTAGAATAGAACCGGTATTAACAGCAAAGATTAGCCTCGTCTTCCTTATCTCTTTCCCTCCAACAATTTCTGGATTTCAATAACAATTGTTCGGGAGGGTGTTGAACATTCAACATGTACACGTTGATGTCAACGCCTCTCTGCAACTATGGCGTCCCTTTACCAACATTTTTCATTCTGAAACACATCAACAACACCAACCCCAAGTTTCTCAGCTTTAGAAAACCCTTGCAAATCCATGCCGATGCAACAAACGAAGTCGATTCCCAGACTGGAACGCTCGAGGAAGAACCCAAAAAAGAAACTTTAGAATCTGAACCCAGAAATGAGGGCCAAAACATCTCCAGTTCCCCTAAACCCCTTGACAAGGACCTCAAAAGGTTCCATATTTTTCTCTTTCTTTTAGTTGCTTCATCTTTTAACATGGAGGATTGGTTGATTTTTGAGGATGTTTCCTTCGTGATATGATTGACAACAGGTTGTTTCAAAAGACTGCTGCAACCTTTGCACCGCGGGCTTCAACAGCTACAAAAAACCCTGCTGTTCCGGGAACTGCCTTGTACACTGTTTTCGAAGTTCAAGGCTATGTGTCGTTGCTGCTGGGTGGAGCTTTGTCTTTCAATCTCATATTTCCATCTAATGAGCCTGATATTTGGATTGATGGGGATGTGGTCCATTTGGATGTTCAGTGAGTTCATTGCCTTGTCTGTTTCACCTTGTTCTATAAACAACATAATCAACATGCTAATATGGCTGTTTCTTTGCAGCTATTCCTTCGCTTCGAGCTCGGGACTTCGAAGAACGAAAAGGAAGCTCTTAATTATCTGTTCCTTATCATCCCCTTGATCAATGTTATAATCCCTTTCTTTTGGAAGTCTTTTGCAGTTGTCTGGTCTGCAGACACTGTAGCCTTCTTTGCCATGTATGCCTGGAAGGTACTTTTATTTATATCCTTTGATCATCTCCTTCCATCATCTTTCTGTGATCATTTCGCTTATTCAATTTATATGTGCTTCCTACAGCTTGGATGGCTACAGGAAACAGAGTAGGAATTGTGCGCACTGGCCTTCACTTGGTTCAATGGTGCTATCATACTTGATTGATTCTCTGTTTTAAAGCTCATGATGGATCCGAGATACATGCAGATTATACATATTAAAGAGGCAGAGTGTGCAATTGTTTGACCTGAGAAAGAAATGGACTCCTCCTGGAAATGTACTTACAAATTCATATCAGTTAATGTATACTCTTGGAATCTGGCCTCACTGCTATTTCTCTTATTTCATATGAATTTCAAGCTCGTAATTGTTTCTCAAGATATATGTGTACACTCAAAGTCCTTGTGAGGAAATTGAAATTTCTGAATCTCTTCAGACCCTTTTTTGTCTTGCAATTTGATGAATCCCCTATAATTAGCAGGGTGTGTCGGCAGCAGTTCTGCAACTTGATCGTTGTAATTCGATAGCTTAGCAATGGTAAGTAGGATAAAGGTTTTTTGCAGTGGCTGCAACAGACAAATGAGGGGGAGACTTTTTACCATGAAACTAAATTTAAAAAAACTCGAGTTTCATGGATTCAATTCTTAACTGGCTGGTTGTAAACAGCCCCGGTACCATGGAAAAAAGGTTTATCCCTACCTACACTGAGGTATCGATGGAGGATGATATTTTTAACTGGTGAAGTTGAGGAAGAAAGAATTACCAAACATTCATTCTCAAGGGATCATGAAACATATGAAGAAAAGGATGAAATGAATGTAATTTCTGCTACAAATGGTTTCAATGAAATTTGAGCAGTTGCTACAACTTGCAAGATGTTTCGTATTTGACAGCAGAAGCTGAACTCTAAACAAGCACCTTGTCTTCCTAATTGGTGAAAATCACAACTTGAAAAGAAAAAAAAGTAATTGCTAACGCATTGGAGACTAAAAACATCATACGTTGAAACCATGGTGTCTACTTAGCACATTAAAAAGTCGGATGCCGAACTCTGATTTCCCTGTTTGCACTACAGCGGGTGCATCAGTCTCCGGTCTGGTATGGATGAAAATGATGGTGGATTCTTGTCAGTGGTAATGATAAACATGCAGCTTATTATAAACTTAACATTCAAAGATATAGAACATACAGCTTATAGTAGAGGAAGGAGAAAATGCAACCACATCATAATACAGAGAACAGGTAGTGATATCATTTGCTGCAAAGGGTTCGAGAGATCCAGCAACGATGACTAACCGGGGCAAATCGGAAACAATGCTCATAACCCAGAATTCTGATTGTATGTTATTTATTACATAAATGAAATGGAGTTTGTCACATTCTCCTAATACAAATACTGGGACCTACAGAAACATTACATAAGATATGAGGCAACATGATTCAGTCAGTCTGTGATGTTCATTTAAGAACTGCAAAGATAGCTCATCAACGTGTTTCAACTAAACAGAGTTTACCTTTTCAAAGTTCACATCGTGCTCCCTGCAAAAATATCTATTTGAAAAAAGCAATGAATTTCTAATGGTTTTATACGTACTCATCATCACTATCCTCCTCATACTCGGAATCAGACTCATCGCTCCTTGGTTCCATCAGTGAATTCATGTCAAATGAAGGCATTGTTTCCATTTCCTCCACCTCAATTGTGTCGTAGTTCAACCGTTCCATAAATTTCTCATCAGAGCAGTTAAGAAGCCACGAGAGAGAACATTTAAAACCTTTCTTTCTTACAATCTTGTCTAGGCTTTATAGTGGATTCAAGACCATAAGTAAAGAATGCTGGGAAGGCGGCCAAATCATCAAGAGGCCTCTGCATCTCCATTTGAAAGTAATCAATGCTGAGTCTCATGATGTCAAGATTCAATGCAAGGATCTGGGGACATTCTACAACCATGCTCCTCACTTGTTGCAAGGAAATCCACAACCCTTTAGGAAATCCACATGTTTCACCATAGAAGTCTTACTAAGGCTCACAACCTGAGGCATTTTCGCACAACGGTCCCAAAATCCTCGGGTTTCAAATCAATGATTGATTGAATTAAACTCCTTTGACCAAGAAGCTTCGGCTGAAGATCAATTCCTATGATTTCAGGATATTGTGCTATCTAGATGGAAGCGATTCTTTTCTAACATTGAACTCTAGAAGGGATGCAACATTTGGTTTGACCCTTCCTCTAATCCGAACCCAAGGATGTGAGGTCCCTTCTCTATCAATCTAGCTATAGCTAACCTTGGAATACCCAAACCTTCAAGATACTCACAAATGGCTTGATCACGCGGCCAACTCGCATCCCAAGAATCTCAGGATATCTGGTTAAGACCCCTCCAACTTCCCTTCTAGACACTCCAATGCCAACTAAATAAGCCACTGATGTGCTCATTGTCCCTCAAGCTTGAATCCCAAGACTTCTGGATATCTCTCAAGCACCCGAGGTATATCATTAGGCTTGATATCCATCCCTTGAAGATACTTGACTACTGGGGCAAGGTCAACCACAACACTTGCATGGAGAATTGTGGATATCTTCTCAAAAACTCTGTGAAAGTGGATTTCTAACACCCAATTTCCCCAAATAATCAGCACCGGAATCATGTTCTTTTCACACTACAACCAAGAACCAGCGGATAATTGTTGATGTCTTCATAGTAAGCCCCATTTATGAAGAAATCGATACGTTGCATAACCTCAACCGTCACAGGAAGTTCTAGCCCATCTAGCTCATCAGGAATAATACCAAGTACCCTCAAAAACTCATAAACCTTAGCACGATTTGCTATCCTCTTCTTCATGTTCGACAAACTAGGACGACTATACAAGGATGAGGGATTGACTTGTTTTCGATTCAGATGAACGGAATTTGGCTTCGAAGAAGATGAACTCACAGGTGTAGAAGAACAGGTTCTACCAGCAACACTGCAACGGAACCCTGGGACCGATCCAGAAGTTCCCTCACAGTTACCAGGGATTTTAAGAGTCGATGTCCATGTTAACTTGGGTTTATGGAAGGTAAGAGCAGGTAACTCGGATGTACAAGCAAAAGACTCGGTTTTGTAATTCCAGCACAGCTTCTGATCTTCATTATCTCACAGTACACACTGGTATGAAATACTCTACAAAAATCACAGACCACAGAAATTAAAGTTGTAAGAAGCAATCTTTCTGAAAAAAGACCTTACAAAATGATTGCAATTTTTACTAGAAAATTAACAAAATTTATATTTTCAGAGCTAAGATAGGCTGAAACCCAAGACGCTAAAACGCTAAAAATGGCAATTAGGCTCATTTCAGTACCCAGGCTCGTATACCAAAGAAAAAAAACGAAAGTAGACCCAAGAAGAAGTAGAAGCTAAAAATATATCTTTCTCAAATCAAAGATACTGTAAATTAGATAATCGAACAAGTTTCACAGTTCCTTAATCCTCTTCCTGAAATATCTATTAGTTTTTCACTTTCAGATAAGAACTTACTCCATTATCCGAACAATTGAGGAACGGTAAAGCAAATGATAGGAAAGGAAGAGTAACCCACTCAGAATTTTCGACGGAGACGACCGTTTCCGGTTGCCGATGGCCGGACAAGGTGGAACTGTCTACGCTTAATTAAACTGGGTTGCGAATGCGAACCCGAAGTAAGGTAAGTGCTATTAGTAGATTTCCCCCATTATAATGTTGCATTAGTAACTAAAGTATCAGTTTGTTCTGTTTAGGATCTAAACTTTTAATTTTTAAAATCCCTAAAATTTAGATTTTATTTCATTTAATACCCTCCGTAAAAACTTTAGTTTTGTTTCATTTTAGTTCCTTGTAAATTAAAGTTAAGTTTTGATTTTTTTAAAGTTTAGGTACTCAACGCGTTAATTTTTTAACAGTAGTACTAAAATGAAATGAAACTAAACGTTAAGTATGATTTTAAAAAATTAAGTTAGATACTAAAACGATTAAAACTGATAATTTAAGTACTAAATACGTAATTTACCCTTAAAATTATATTTGCTTCTTCAAAGTTGTAAACTTTTTGGGATAAAAACTTTTAGCCATCCAAATTAACCTTTTGTCATTGTTTTCGTCTGAAAAATTAGTTTTAATTTTAATTTTTAACTTTCAACTTTCAACTTTTGATTTCTTTATTTTTAAACTATCAAATTTAAATTTAATTCTTTTATAAAAAAAATATGATACATGTAATTATAATTCAAAATTTATAGTGCTTTTGTTTTAATCTCTAATATTTTAATTTCCTTTCAATTTAATCTCTATAATAAAAAAAACTTTATACAATTTTACTCCCTTATGCAAGAACAAACATATATTTATTGTAAGCTAAAAGTTTATTTTCACTTCAATTTTTGTAAAGAATATTTTGGTTTTTATAATTTTAATTTATTTTCAATTTGATATTTGTGGTAAAATATTTTTGAAATTTTGGTATTCTTCTACACGAAAAAAACATTATATTTTTTAAAAGTTAAACACAGTTTCAATTCAAATTTTCTGAAGATTATATAATAGTCTAATTAAAACTCTAAATTATCAATTTCGATATAATGAAAACTAATTTTCATTAGTTTTAATTTTAATTTTTAACTTTCAACTTTTGATTTCTTTTTTTTTAAACTATCAAATTTAAATTTTAATTCTTTTATAAAAAAATATGATACATGTAATTATAATTCAAAATTTATAGTGCTTTTGTTTTAATCTCTAATATTTTAATTTCCTTTCAATTTAATCTCTATAATAAAAAAACTTTATACAATTTTAACTCCCTTATGCAAGAACAAACATATATTTATTGTAAGCTAAAAGTTTATTTTCACTTCAATTTTTGTAAAGAAATATTTTGGTTTTTATAATTTTAATTTATTTTCAATTTGATATTTGTGGTAAAATATTTTTTGAAATTTTGGTATTCTTCTACACGAAAAAAACATTATCATTTTTTAAAAGTTAAACACACAGTTTCAATTCAAATTTTCTGAAGATTATATAATAGTATAATTAAAACTCTAAATTATCAATTTCGATATAATGAAAACTAATATTTCTTCATATAAGCAATTGAAGCAAATCTAGCCTCAATGTATTTCAGTCTCTAGCAAAATAGATGCTTACATGTATTATGATGTATAGTACGTAAAACCAACTCTTATTCTAATCATTTGTTGACCATAACAAGCAGTGAAAATCAAGTATATTACACATTCCAGCAAGTTGAAATCAATAAAAAACCAGAGACCTTATGAGCTAATTCTTCGGGCTCCATCAAGCTGACGTTTCTGCTCAGTCTTTCCTTGGTATTTTGAATGAATGTTTCAGAAATTTCATTAATGTTCAACCCCAGACCTGTAAGCACCGGTTTTCCCGATCTCGAACTATCCATTATAGGTATAACAATACGTTGGCCTCTTTCCCTCATGGACTTGAGGCTTATCGTCGTCGTCGTCATCTACCTGGAAAGATGAGGAGTCTGGTTGTTGACATGAGTCCAATTCCAATAGTCCGGCTCTTCCTTCGCTCTTCTTGAAGTTGATCCGAACAATGGAATCCGAGACATCCTCCAGTTGATCTTCCATCACTACTCGTTGAGCCCTGGGGCATAGGCTGCCCCAATGTGACGCGTTTGAGGCCTATGCCAATAACGCTGTTGATAATGAAATAAAGACTCTACGGAAAATGCCGACACTCTGAGAATCGTTTTCTTTGTCCTGTATGGCTTGGAAAGACATGAAACAGATGTATGAAGTGGTCTGAACAAGATGATGTCTTGGTCTTTAACCCTGTTTGAATGATTCAATTCTTGGAATTTGGGGTAACATGTTTTATTTTTTAAATCCCACAGATGATTTTGGTTTATTAAAGCAAGAACAGTAAGAGGAGAAAAAGCAAAATTAGGGGAATTCTACTTTGCTTGAAGCAAATGGAGAATCATCCAAAAGTGAATTGGTATGGATTATGCAACCAACGGGTGATTGAGACTTTGATTGTCCTCTTCTTTCCATGGATATGAAGCATCTTTTTCATGGCTTTTAAACGTAATTATCTTTATCAATTCTTTAACTTTTAACAAAGTAACGTAATTTGATCAGTTTTTTTGGATGAATTATATCATATACAGTTGAACTTTCAATTTCTATTATTGTAACATTTAATTTTAATTTTCGTTCCAATTATATCACTGAGCCGTTAACTCAATAACTACACAATGACTTGACTGACGGTTAATGAAAAATATTAAAATGTTGCATTTGAAGGGATATCGAAGAGGACTTTGTGGGGGATATCGAAGATGATGATGAACCGGTTAAGGGTTGATGAAAAATGTTGATGTTTATTGCCTACTAGAAATGGAACATTCTGTTGTTGCCTGTTGGGTGTTTGTATTTTTGCATTTGCTGATACGATATGTATGCAAAAGAGGATTAATATAAATAACTTGATACAAAATCCTGTTGGTCGCATGTATTAGCTAATTCACACTCGTACTTTCAAGCTCAACTGCCTCTGAAGCCCTACCATGATATTCAACAAGTGTTGCGACAATGGCTAGAACCTATAGTTGCTGAGAAAGAAGGAAAAAAAGTGACAAATGTGGGGAAAAACAAACATTACAGAATTTGAGCCGCATGTGTACAGTAAGTAAATGCTCTTTCGGAGCAAGAAACATTGCATCGAACAATGTCTCAAGCTTTAACTTATTCCAAAGTCCCTTCGACGTTGATTCCTGGTTCGGAAGTAGACTCTGCTACTCGTGTTTCAACAGAAAAAGCTGTTGTGAGCATTCTTCCTTTTTGGGCTCGTGGTGGGAGTTTGGTGTGTTTTTTTGATCCCATGGTCCACGGCAGGAAGACCCCGGTGCCTCCACGAGGAAGTTTTCTGGGGCTCATCACCACCGGACGTACAGGTGCTAGCATGACAACAGGAGCATGAAGGACTCCCCATTTTGGCATCGTATCGAATGCCTTATAGCCGTTAAGATTTCCATTTGACACTACATATGGACCAGGGGCAGCTGGTTGCCAAGTCATGGCACCAGATTGAGTAGTTGGTGGTGACTGACCTTGGTTGGTATCCAGCCGAACTCGGAACAAGGTAATGCTTACCCTCTTGTTCGGAGATGGGCACATTACATGTCTTGCCGTGTCGGAACTATTTCCTCTCATAACTAAAAGAGACCTGCAGAATAGCAGTAAAATACAGTATGTATTTGATCACAAATTCCAACGTCTTTTAAAACAAGTAGGATGCTCTAAGATTTGTTAGCTTTCACCTTCATACACTAACACGCTGTGAAGATAAGTACGATTATTCTAGAGTTTTTGCAACCAAAACACCATGGCGGTACCGGAGAATAACATATATAAACAAGAAGCTGCACCTGTTTAACGTTCCGGTGTTCTGAAGTATGATGCAAGCCACTATAAACAAACAAAACTTATACCATGCACCCATCACCCAAAGCATCCCTTTCATACTATCAATAGAAGCAGTTAACTGTGAACATACCCTTCTTTCAATGAAAGTTGGAGTCGCCCTCTATAGTTCCCTTCACCGTCACTCACGAGAGTTCGCCCGAAAGCCATTGTCGATTCAGACAGGAGAAGTGTTGAGATAGGTTGTTCCAAATGAGGTGGTTTAAGAAAGGGTTGAGAATATTCACCCTGCAGTAAAGAAACATAACTACACTTAATATTGTACTCAAACAAGAAACAGGGAAAATGATAATACAACAGTGCAGCAAAAAGGTATACCTCATCGAAGAAGTTAATGATGCAGCCATTTGGTTTCTTATATTCAGGTATAAGTTGCCATTGGATCAAGTGTTCTATGACATGTTCGAGCAGTGCCGGAATCGGTTCTATATCAACTGTAAAATGTTTAAAGAATTTATAAGGGATCAAGAAAAAGGTTAAGAAACCAGAGAAACTTAACATAACCATGGATTCATAGCGGTGGATCTTACTTGCATGGTTATCTCTTGTCAGCTCGTCTTTAACATGTCCGAAAATCGGAACACCAAACTGAATCAGCTCTCTCTTATTTCCCTTAATTTGTTTGTTGAATAAAATGAAAGTCTCACCTTAGTAATCCAAAAAAGTAAAATAGTCAGTAAGAAGTCCATTAAACAAAGTCTTGGCAAAAAAATTGCAGGAGTTGAACCAGAAGAGTTCATATAAAACATCAAACAAGAAAAATGAAAGACAACCAACCATTTCATTTGCATCTACCAATAAAATAACATTTTAAAACCTAGGTATGAACATGTATCCCGATCCCGATGGTCGATTCATGTGCTTGAAACAAGAAACATGAATTGACTATACCTACCTGTTCAAACAAAGCTACAACAGAAGGGATAACTATTTCAAATCTTCATCTTAATATTCTAAAACAGGCTCAATTTCGGCTTTAAAGCGGGATGGCACCTGACAGTTCCCCATTCTGCCCGGCGGATCGAAGTTCAGTCATGAAGTCACTAAGCTTAGCTAGCTCTGAATCAGTGAATACGTCCTCATACAACTTCAATCCTTTCACAACATTCACCTGCATCACAGTAAATAATATCACTCGAGATGCAACGTCGATACGGCATTCATTAACAGATTTCATAACAAAGAACTACTGCAATCCATCTTTTTGATCCATACTGTTGGTTACTTTGTGAAAGAAAGAACTCACCATGCGACCCTTCACATGTTCCTTGGCAGAAAAACCTTTGGTCAACTTGAATTGAGAAGGCCGTGCATCACAGTCTTTGTGGTTCAAACAAATATCGATGTCTTCCTCGACAATAGCTTCCTGAGATCCTGCATTGCCAGAGAAAAAAACAAAGTTTTAAGCTGGGAATTAGCTGTAATCTTTTTAATCAAGTTAGCTAATTATTTATAGAACACCATTTTCAAAGCTCAGCAAAAAGCCTCCTTTGCTAGCTGGAAGAACAAGTCGGCTACGGTAAAGCTATGAACATCACAAGGACAGAATAAAAACTGCAGCTTGTCCTACTCTAGGATACCACAACCGGCTTTCCAAACACTACAAGTTCACTTTTTTTCTCTTTTTCATTTTCCTCGTAGAATTCAATTCAATCTTCATTGGATCGCTCGCTCAAAAGGCCCAAAAGGGTAACCGGACTTGACCGGGGAAGGTATGTTCAGTCAATCGCTCGCTCAAAAGCCCAAAAGGGTAACCGGACTTGACCGGGGAAGGTATGTTCAGTCAAATGAGTCGACTCGGCTCGACTCAGAAGGCCCACGTGACATCATCAAACGGCAGCCGTGATGTCAAAGATTAGAGACGGTTGCGATAAGCGCAAACCGAGCGGAGACCCCCCCCCCACCCATAAAAGATTGGCTCAAACTAACTGTAAAACTGAGTCAGCCAACCCTTTCTCTCTATAAAATTTTACCTCGAAATTCTCAAACTCCTCGCTTAAACCTCGGGAACATGCCTACCGTATATTACAGTACGACTATTACACATCTGAAAACACTTTTTTAAAGCAATAAATAATTAATTAAAATAACACCTTTCTACAGAAAAAATGAAATTTTGATCTCGTGAAACTGAAAAGTACATTTTTTTTAAACCAGGAAACCGTGAGTTTGAAGAATCATATAGAAAACGGGGAAAATTTAATGAAAACACGGCATCATTATCTACCCCGACGATGAATTCAAAGTCAGAGAAAAGTTTGAAAAGGAGCTGGGAAAATGCATGATTTTGTTTGGTCCCATAGAAATGAAGGAAAATGTTAAACCTTTTTAATACAAAAGAGAAATAAAACAAAGGTGTAAGATTATAATAATGCGTTTGCTTTGTTTCATGGTACGGTTTCACTTTCAGTCTTGACCAAAACACAGGGAAATTTAGAGATTCAATGCTTCACGCCTCTCTGCCTTGCACACTGTCATTAGAACAGACAAAAAGACGACATTTTTCTTTTGTCTTTTTTTATTGATTGATCAAGGAACATAGAAATTGAAGAATTCAAGTAATGAACAGAATAAGTTTGAATACACCAACTGATCGGAATCGGATGGCATTAATGGAAGAAAAAAACAGAGTCAAGTTCAGAGGCAGTTAGACGTTCATAAGAATCCCAGCAACTCGGCCGGATTTTGCGTCAACATTCCAACAAGGAAACAAAGCGCAATCATTATATATTTACATATAAATTATATGCATGTAAAAAAGAATCAACTTTATAATCGAATATCACTTTCTTTTATTATGAAATTACCTGAATCAGTATGTCACTGTCAGGGAATCTTCTTCTTCTTTTCCACCAACTGCCTCGTTCCCCTCATTTTCCACCACTTTCTCGACGACTTTCTCTTTCTCATCATCCAACAAGCGCCGCAACCTCCTTTCACTTCCTCCTTGACAATCCCATCCCCTCCTCCGGTCATCTTGGCAGTCACCTTTTTCAGCTCCGCCGTCACATCGGCAATGGAGTGATACTTCTGCATCTGCAACACCGGGATCCAATTCAGCCTCCTCCCGTGGATCGCCGCGAACACCGCGTCGTACTCCGATCCTACGTCCCCGCTTCCCTGGAGCTGCGCCAAATGACCGCAAAGAGCATCGATGATGGCATTGGCGGCCGCGAATTCCCCTCGGAACCAAGAAATGATCGTGTCCTTGGCCAAAACGTCAGAAACCGCCGGCACGGCTTGCATCACGGGTAACACCGCTGGCCCCATAGCTTGAGCCTGTTCCCACGGCGATGCAGTCCCCGCCGCCATTGGCATGTCTATAATAATTATACCCTTAACTATTTACTAATTTGACCGAATATTGGGAACCCAGAAACTTCGAACTATTGGGTATTCGGAGAGATGGAGAAGAGACTGAAGAAAAGACTTAAAGCAGATGGTGGAGAGATGGCTTTTGTATTTTGTTTGGAGAAATGAGTTCTTAGGGGAAAGGGGGCAGAGTGGGTTAATATATATGGGAGCAGGGAGCTCTTGACAATTGGCATTTGTCCCTACCACTGGGGACCACGGGAACATCTGACATGGCATCACGATTTGAATTAATTCACATTTATATTTATTTTGGGTAAATTACATATTTAGTAATTAAACTATCAGTTTTGATTCGTTTTAGTACTTAAACTTTCAATTTTTCAAAACTATGCATAACATTTTGTTTGTCTTATTTTAGTACCTCACCGTTAAAAATTTAATAGACTATATTTTTATGGGTAAACTATATCTTTCATCCCTCAACTATCTTCTCACTCCTATTTTGGTACTAAAGTTTACAAATTTTCAATTTAACTGCTAAATTTTCAAATTACTCCTATTTTAATCACTCTAATTTATTTTGTTAATATTTTTTGTGATGTAACATTTTATTATTATTTTATTAATATAAGTTAAAAATATAAATATAAGTTTGAAAGTTAGAGTGATTAATTTAGGAGTAATTTGAAAGTTAAGTAAACAGAAGCAAGCAACTCCCAGACTCCAAATCTTCCCCCGTAAAAGAGGGCTATTTCGTTTTTCTACAGTGAGAAAACAAAGAAACAAAACCCAGTTTGGATGTATAGCTTTTAGTTTCTGATTTTTGTCACGTCTTTTTTCCCTTCTGTTTTGTTGTTTACTTGTTCTCCAATTCAGTGTTTCCATCATTTGTTTATTCAAGCTCTGCACTGAGATCTGTGGGTAAATGTTAACATTTCTACTTCCCTTGGAGATTTTCTTTTGATACCGTTTTGATACCGTTTTCTGGACCGGCCGTGAAGAATCCAAGCTGGGTTGGTTTGAATTTTCTTAGAAGGTACCTAACACAAATATAAGGTATTTTCTCTCTGCTTTTGAGATCTGTGTGGAAAATTTAGATAATAGCAACAAAACATCTCTTCATTGCAATCCCTTCGTCGTCTTGCAATTTGCTTACAGTTTGCATCGAGATCTGGGTTTAGTTGTTCATAGAAACCTTCAACGGTTACTCTCTTTTTTCCTTACTTTTTTCTTCTCTATCCTCTGCTCTTTTATGAACTCGGTAAGTTAAGTTAGATCTGTTTATCATCTTCTGTGGATCTTCTGAGATTTGAGTCCATCATTAGTCTTTCTGCATTTAGATCTGAATTCTGCTTGTGCGTTTGTGTTTCTTTTAATCGAAATCAACGATTTAAGTGAAAAAGATAAATCCTTACATTTTATTATTAGAAGAATCTTGAAGTTGTTTTATTGATTATTAGTTCTGAAAGCATAAACTCTTATTATTGTGGCTGTGATATTGAAAAATCTGGTTTTGCAAGTCCAATATTCATGTCATAAATTATTATTGCATTGAAGGTTTTAACGAACTCACATTTTTTAGCGTAATTATAAATTTAGTACCTAGAAAATTTGTCTGCGATTTGGTCTTTTCTCTTTCAAATATCTGTCAATTTTGTTTTCTGGTAAAGTTAATTTTCTTGGTTCGTAGCAGATCTAATCCTATTTTGCTTCCTTATTTCTTTTATTATCCTAGACTCCTAGTTTCTTATACCATTACCGAATTTTCAAATTGAGTATAACTGTTATAAAGGTTTGATTTTGTGTTATAGCACGATTTTTATCAGATTTTTATCTGAACAAAGATTGTTAATTTCGCATCCACGAATTTTGATATATCCCTTTTAGCTCTGTCGTTGTTTTGCATATCCCTTGCATATTTTTGTACTTAATCTTGTTGTTGTTGGATCTGCTTTCTTTGACTTAACTTCTTGCTGTTTTTTCTCTTGTTTTTATACTTATCTTTTTTACCAGCTTTGGGTTTGATGTTTTTCAATTAGTTGAGTAGGATTTCATTACTCTTATATCTCGTGTTACAATTTTAATCCTTTTTTGCTTAGCTCGAATATTTATTGAACATTTAAATTATAGTTTCTAGATATTGGCCTATATTAAATAAGATAGTATTATTTTTTCTTAAAATCCTATTAAGTAACTAACTAGGATTTTTAGTTCTCCTCAATTCTCTAGCGTTTTATTAGTGCATCTTCTGTCTTATTTGGATTCTTTTTTCATAGTTTCTCATAGCTTCGGTTACAGATGATTACTTGAGGTCATGTCATTCTTTTAGATCCCATGGGGCGTATAGGGGGAGGGCTCGACAGAGTGGTGACAATGAGACTAGATTAAGAGTTTGCTCGCTGAATGTAGGCACATTAAATGCTAGGCTGCTGGAGCTGACCGACGTACTTAATAATAGAAAATTGATTTTGCTTGTATTCAGGAGACTAGGTGGAAAGGGTCTCGCGCCAGAGAGTGTAATGGGTACAAGTTGTGGTATTCAGGCGTAGATAACGCTAGAAATGGGGTGGGTATCTTGGCATCCTCTAGGCTCAAGGAAATGTAGTTGAAGTTTGCAGATACCGGATAGGATCATGATGATTAAGGTTATTATAGAAGAGGAAGTAGTGAATGTCCTTTCAGTGTACGCCCCACACGTTGGCCTAGGGGAGGGAGAGAAACGTTGCTTCTGGGATCAGTTAGATGATATACTTAGGAGCATTCCGAGGACCAAAGAGTTTTCATAGGGGGAGACTTCAATGGCCATATGGAAGTGCAACTGACGGGTATGACGGTGTTCATGGGGGTTTCGGTTATGGTAGCAGGAACGATGGGGGGCGTACGTTGCTTGATTTTGCTACTGCTCACGATTTGGTGATCACTAACTCCTTCTTTAATAAGAGAGATGCGAACTTGATTACGTTTCATAGCGGGGGACATTGTACCCAAATCGACTACATCTTGATTAGAAATCAGAACGATGGGCTTGCATTGACTGTAAGGTGTTCCCTGAAGAGGCATGTGCATCACAACACAAATTGTTGGTTTTGGTGTACCGCGTTCCCCACGGGCGGAGCACTCATAGGAGGGCTAAACTTGGTAAACCTAGGATCCTCTGGAAGAACTTATATGGAGCGACAATTGATGACTTTAGGAGTAAGGTTTTGTCTAATACAAGTTTTGAAACTACAAACTCAAAAATGCAGATATGTTATGGAAAGATATGGCAAATTCCATAAGAGACGTTGGCAAAAATACCCTTGGGTTGTCGACGGGGAAGGCCAAGGAACATAAAGAATCGTGGTGGTGGAACGACGAAGTCCAAACTAAGGTGAAGACAAAACAAACTTGCTTCAAGGAGTTTCTACAATGCAATGACGACGAAGAAGTCGAGAGCTAAACAAAGATACCAGGAGCAAAGCGGAAGCCAAGAAAACGGTAGCTAAGCAAAGGATAAGGCATACGAGGAAATGTACAAGAGATTAGACACCAAGGACAAAATGGCATCTTCAGACTTGCAAAATCTAGGGAGATTAGGAAAAAGGATCTAGTAACATTAGGTTTATTAAGGACAACAATGGTGTTCTTTTAGCGAAAGATCACGATATTAAGAGGGTTTGGGGTAGTTACTTCTTTGGCTTATTTAATGACGGTGCCTCTCCATGTAGAGATAGTATCGTTGATGGTTTAGCCGACTATCATACTACGGCCAATGACTGCCCTACAAGTAGGATTGGGTTTGAGGAAGTCAAAATGGCTCTTAGAAAGATGGGAAGGGACAAAGCTGTCGGTCCTGATCAAATTCCTATCACTGTGTGGTTGGCCCTAGGAGAAGAGGGAGTTAAGTGGTTGCCAACATCTTTAATATTATTTTAGAGACTGCCAAGATGCCAGAGGAGTGGAGAGAGTCTACGGTGATACCAATCTATAAAAATAAAGGAGATCCCCAACGTTGTGGTAACTACAGAGGTATTAAACTCCTCAGCCATACCATGAAGCTATGGGAAAGGGATAGAGGCTAGGTTGAGACAAGTTACTAGGTTTCGGAAAACCAATTTGGCTTTATGCCAGGCAGGTCTACCACGGAGGCGATTCATCTACTTCGACGGCTTATGGAGAATATAGGGAAAAGTCTAGAGATCTTCACATGGCGTTCATTGACCTTGAGAAGGCTTATGATAGTGTTTCCCCGCGATACGATCTGGAAGACTTTGGAAACGGATCCCAACTGCTTATATCCGGGCGATTCGTGATATGTATTATAGATCTACTACTTACGTCAGGACTACAGTTGGCGACACCGAGCATTCCCGGTTGAAATCGGACTCCACCAGGGGTCGGCTCTTAGCCCTTACATCTTCGCCTTGATTATGGACGACATCTATTGTGCGACACCAGACGGTGTACCATGGTGTATGCTTTTCGCTGACGACATTGTCTTAGTTGCTGAAACAAAATATGAGTTGAATAGTAGACTGGCTACCTGGAAGACTGCTTTGGAAGAAAAAGGTTTAAGGATCAATATTGAAAAGACAGAGTATTTATGTTCAAACTTCAATGGGAACCAAACGATGAAGATGTAGAAGTATGCATAGAAGGACACGTTCTCCCCTCAAAGGATTGTTTCAAGTACCTAGGGTCTATGATACATAAGATGGGGGTGTAGATGATGACTTACACACCGTATAAAGGCGGGATGGCTAAAGTGGAGGGCCGCTACTGGAGTTCTGTGTGACAAAAGGTCCCTCTAAAACTTAAGGGAAAATTTTATAGAATGGCAATAAGACCAGCGCTGTTGTATGGATCAGAATGTTGGGCAACCAAGAAGGATCACATAAGGAGGATTGAGGCCGCAGAAATGAGAATGCTTCGATGGACATGTGGTAGGACTCTGAGGGATATGACGACAAACTCTGCTATTAGGATGTCCTTGGGGGTGGTGTCTGTTTCCGAAAAATTGAGGGAGGGAAGACTACGGTGGTTTGGGCATGTCC